ATTTTCAAAGACACTTTGAGTTGTTTCTGTTAGAGCACTGCTTACAGAAGGGTTACATACTCTCTCCCTGTAACTTCATATGGAAATAACCTCCACCCAGATGAATTTCTCTGCTCTTTCTTTTTGTTTCTCTATTTTGCATTTCTTCTTTCTTGCATGTTACTGGCGCACTGCTAGGTTAGCATGAAAAGGAAACTCTGACTGAGACAATGGATTTGTAGTAGGGGTGGGAACACTGGTCAGCACCAGTGTTCGTCGTCTTCTATTTCTCTATTTTTACGCCAGAAAACCCTTGCAAAAAAGGCATATGTATTTCCCCTGTTCATGGAATTTTGTCATAATTCTCATACCTACCCTTTTCTGGTATCCTATATATAGGCACAACTATCATGTATTTTAATATTGGACAAAATACATCATGTGATTTGTATGACTTAAGCAGCATAGCTTAAATATTGTGCTGCAAAGCTTTGGAGGAACATTTGTGCAACAGTTTACTTATAGGGTTTTTGTGGCAGACAAGTCATCCTTTCCTTACTTTGAAGGTGCAAAGTTTCATTAATACAAATGTTTTTGAAAAGTTTGTACTAAAATGTCCTTTTTTATTTTTTCCCTCTTTAGTGCTATGCAAAACATTGTGTATAGAACTTATAAGGCATTTGTTCGGATTTCTGGAGTATGCTTGTTGTCTGCTTGGGGTTAACAGAGAGCCATCAGGCAGCAATATGTAGTGAAAGGGAAGTCTCATTTTTGTTAAACCATTTTGGCTTTAGAAGACATAAAGCAGAATCAAGGCTATCATATTGTACTTGGTTGTACCAGAAACCATTTTTTTTCCTTTTTTTTGTTTGTGTGTGTCTTGGTTTTGTTTTTCTCTTGAACCTGCTTGGGAGAGAAGCTTGAGTTAGCTTTTCTAAAGTTTGTTGAAGAAATTCTGGGTGGCATTATATAGGAGTTTCAATAGAAGGATGGAGGTAGGTTTAGGCATCTATAGCCACAGATCATGAGTTTTTCTTTTCTGCTTTTTTTTTCTCTTTCCTTTTTTTTCTTTTTCAGGGGCAAGAGTAGGGGGATGGAGAGGCAGTGCATCAGAACCTCTAAAGACATTCAGAACGATTTTCCAGTGCAAATCTCTTAAAATATTCTGAAATATGTTCAACCTGGTCTCTGAAAAACTGGTGCTTCTTTCATGGGTGATCTGAACCCACGTCCTCCCACACAGGAGGAGGAATTATTACTTTTTGAAGAGTTGATTTTTTTTTCCAGTTTCCACAATGTTTTTGTTGATCAGGAGAGGGTAAGTCTAGAGAGCTTTTTGTGAACTCAGGATAAAGTTTGCACTGGCACTGGAACCCTATGTGTGTCCTCAGACCTCAGACTGGCTCCCCAGAAAGTTGTGTTTTCCATATATGTACTCACTCTGATAGAAAAAGGCTGCACTGTGTGATAGGAGTTGTTCTCCATGGAACAGCAGTGTCTGTTATGTGCAAGCTAGCATATGTAAAAGATAGAGAGGCATCTTTGGCTCGCTTCTTTGCCATGAATCTTTCTGGGACTGTTTTTACAATCTGTTTCCCTTGCAACTCAATTCCAGAATTATTTTGACTAATCTTCCTATAGCTTGTTAATCAAACTTCTCATAGGTTTTCAGGATGCAAGACTGAGTCTATCAGACTCATGTTTCACCATTCCTTCATTCTTGCACTGCTAAAACTCCTTGCCCAAAGCTTGACAACAGAGCATTCCCATCTTGCAGGGAATGTTGTCTTGCAGGGATGTGACTCTTGGTTGCATTAGTTTTCATCATGGAAAACTTTCATATTTGCTGTAAGTATTCATCAGCTGGAGAAGGAGTTGTTCAGAGTTATGAAACAGAGTTAAAATGTTAATACTAGAGACAGAAGGTAGGTGTGTCATTAATAATAGTACAATTGTTCTGATATCAAAATGTTCTTGACCGTAACCTGACCAATGAGTGTCAACTGGAAAGTCTGACAAAGTGCTCACATGGAACTTGGTAAATACATAAGGTTTATCATTCCTCCCTCAGTTTCCTAGTGATGGCACTGAAAAGCAGATGGGAGCTCTCTTCCATAACCTGTTAATGTCCTTGAATTTCAGTACATATTTTTGTCTCTTCAAATCATGTCGTTTCTAGATAGCGAAACTTGGGTCATCATTTTACAATATCCTAATGAGTTACAAAATATTAGTGGGGCTAATTGTGGGTATTGTACAGCCACTTTGTAGAAGGTAAGTGTGCTTCTGAAAAGATCCATCGCTATATTTATAAAGATGGATAAAAATAATTGGAATTCGAGTGTTTCTTAGTGTAGAAGAACATAAAGTAAAATGTTGAGGAATTAATTTTGCAGCATGAATTTGAAGTTGAGCATTTCAAAGGTCGAACCTCTCATGAGGGAGACACTGCTGAAGGAGCAGCATGTCTTTGAAAGGAAGACAAAGATGAATATATCTTTCCACAGAGAACACTGCATGTGCACTCAGGCAACTGTGATTGGAGGCTGAAATTGAAGAAATATGGTGACGGCTTGAGTTTATTCAACTCTTGCTTGAAAGAACCAGACATAGGGTACAAAGGATGTCCAAGACCTGTCAGAAGTTTTGCCCTGAGGCCAGCATGATCCTCTCTGTCAGAGTAAGGGCTTCAAGATTTTCCCTTGAGAAACTTTTTGCCAAAATAGGCTCCTGGCACATAAGCTGCCAGAGGTGATAAAAAAATCACAGGTAGTTTATACCTGGGTTTATAGTTGTCTTTTAGTTTGGGGTCATTAGGATTTCACTGAATGTCTAAATGAAGTGTCTCCAATAATCTGTTGCTTCAGGAGATCCCTATATGGGCCATTCACTTAAGAGCTGGACTCAGTGATCCTTGTGGATCCCTTCCAACTCAGAATATACTATGAACTAGCACGTCACATCATTCACAAACCTTAGAAATAAACCACAAAAATAGCAATAGTGAGTTTCCACTCAGCATTACAATCAACCTTGTGGACGTGGTCAGTCTGCTTCCTCACTGCCTTCTACCTGCAGGGTACTCTTTTTGATTGTCTTACATCTATTTTTACTTCTCAGGTAGCCTCTTCTGTACAAGACAGCTGCTGACTCAGCAGGATTTTCTTATTTATGATAGATGATTTGTATTATTTATGATTTATGTGTTCCAGACAAAGGCAGTAAAGAGGTGCTAGACTGAAAAAGTGATCTGACAAGCAGTGATGAGTCTCTTGGATGGAGAAGGAGGAAACTTTCTTTTTTTAGCACCAACAGTGTTAATGAGGAATTCTTAAAGTTGCAGTGGGGCTCTGGCTTGGAATGGGTTTGATGGGTTATGTGTCAAATATACTTAGCATTACAGAAGGGCATTTCTATAACTATGAAATTGCAGACAAATTTTTTTCATAGTGGAGGCCAATCCCAAACTACCTTGTTATCTTTGACTACTGAGCTGATACTTCGCATCAGAGGATGTTTCCCTATCCTTTTTCTTTCAGTCTTCAATAGTACTTTCATGCAGTGTATCTCCACTGCCTCAAAATCTACTGTAATAAAAACTTGTATCCTAGGCCTTTAGGAAGATAATGTGTACTATACAAATGTCTTTAAATATATTTTCAGCATCTGAACATAACAAAATGCAGGATCTCACTTTGTGCTTCACTGGGCTTGTGCACACTTTTTATAAAAAATCCAGCAGTGTAAGTTCAACACAGATACCTCTGGTACCAAAAGCCTACAATCACAATAGCTGTTACTCATTAAACTGAGCATTCAGATATATTCTCTAAACTGTGAACAATATTTTTTATCCCTTGCCCAGAAGAAGATTTGAAATACATGAATTATTTACCCTGTAAATCTAGAGACAAAAAAAATCAAGGTTATGAACTTGTGTTATGGCCTCACGTTGTGTTCAAGTTATTGCATGTTGTATGGGCAAGGTCATATTGTACATGTGCAGCACTTGTAAAGTAAAAATAGGTCATGGATTTCTACTTTATGAACTTGGCACAATCTATGATTCTGTGAATGACCCCAGTGAAATACGCATGGTTCATGTGTGCTGTAAATTTCTTTTCCTTCAATAGAGGAAAGAATACAAGGCTTCTAGTGTGTTAACTGATGGGTTTTCAAATTGTGCAAAATATGTATTTGGAATAGTTTGGGCTGTATTTTGCAACATTGTTGAGTTAATTTCCTGTTTTTGTGGTCCTTTTAGTTTGCAAATGACCTTCATTAGCAATTACTCCTCTACTTTGAATATTTAAAATGAAAATATTTTTTTTCAGCTTCCCAAAAGCAAGTGAGAAATGAAAAATTTTCCTGTTGGCAGCGTAATTAGTGGCTACTTACACTCTACATGAATTGTGATTAAGTTCAGTTTTCATCATGTGTGTTTTTAAAGAGCTAAAAGAGTTCTGCTAACCCTTAAAATATAAAAGCAGCTGTAAACTACTCTAAAGAGACAATATAAAATATTGTACATGTTGTTTAATGAATAAAGAAACTTACAACTCTTTTGAAATACTTAATTGTTTGGGGCAGCACTGGCCTATAGAACAATATTACATTTTATTCAGTCACTTTTAGATTGATGATTTTTATTAAGATGTACAAGTATAATCTGCCTATATGAGTATTTGCCTAGTTTCCAAGGGGAAAAAAAAAAGGTATTGAAAATGTGTGTGAGTGTATTAAATTTACAGCAAGGGTTCTACTTTAACCTGTATCATGTTGACATTTAATTATTTTAAATGGAAATCATGAAGGGATTTAGTTGACTATATTGACTTCTGCCAGACATTACTCAAGTGTCAAGTGTCCAGTTGTTAAAAACCAGTTTGTTGGTGATGACAGAGCAGTGGGTGCTGCTTTGTTGCAGCAGGGTGAGGGAATATCTCTCCACATCTCCATTTCACAAATTCTCTTGTTCGAGCAAGAGGCATTTTATTTATTCTTCCCTCGTTTCTGAACAGTGATTCCCTGGAAGCCACCCAGCCTGCTGCTTTTACTGCCACCCCAGCGAGGAGCGTACCTGCTTGCCAGGACAACGCGGATGCGAGACCTGCTCCCGCCAACACCACATCTGCTGCAGCCCTCAAGCCAGTGGGACCCCTGGGTTCTGCCAAGGGCTGGCAGCCTCCAAACCAAGCAGGTAACTTTCAAAGAGGCTTTTTCTTGTTTGCTTAAAGGCCTCTGGATAGCTCAGGAAAACATACTTCACCTTGGGTGTAAAAATAACAGGCTTCAAATAGCCATTTGTGGGTTTTGAGTACAGACCAGTTTGCTTACAAAGAGGATAAGAAAAACCAGTGTAACTATTTTAGTAAACCAATAACCCTTGTAAGTAGTCTCATAGATGTAATTGGTTTCACAAACAAGCAAAATCAGATGTCTCTGACCTCTATTAAAAGCATTTATACCAATCAATTATATATATATGCACCTCAGAGCTTCAACTTGGTGCTTCCAGTGTGACTGTAAATTCAACCATATTCCATGCTGTTTCAGGGTTGGGAATATCAACAGACATGTGTTTTCCAAGCAATCTTTTCAGAAGTAATTTTTAAAAAAAGATAAAAGAAAAAAGACTAAAACATTAGAGTGTTTATGTATTTGACGTCTGTAAGTTTTATTTGAGCGAGGTGCCAGATTATTGCATCGTTTTGTGTTACAGTGATTTGTGTAAAGGTTCTTGCAAGGACAATTTACATAGGTACTACTTTTGAATGTAGCTTGGTGATTCTTACTCCTTTAAACCCACACCAGAAAGTCTTATGTCTGGAAAGTGTGCTGTTTTCTTTATGAACACTCCTATGTTATAAACATATCTGTATTAAGACGTGTAACATGTGTAACTGTGTAACTGTGTTTTTGTAATGTTACACGAAGTAGTAATTTGGGATAATTTTTTAGTCTGAATCACTCCTTGGTGGTGAACTAAACTTGAGTAGTAATTTCCAAGGATCTGGGAAATCTGTATTACTAATTAAGCTTTAACCTCAGATTTTTCTTGCTAATATGAGATGAATAGTCTTGATTCTCTTTCTGACAGGATCTAATATGCTAAACAGCTCTGTTTGTTTGCTTTTGTTCTACTGTTAAGGATTTTCCCCCTTTAAAAGCATATCCAATCCTGAAAAGAAACTACAGAGCTCCTGGCATAAAAATAAAACAATAACATAGGGTGTTAATGCTGTGTGTTTTATAATGGCTTTGGTACTTCTGGCTAAATTACTGTTGTGGTTGGTAAAAAAATAGATGTATTTTGGTTGGGACATGCAGTTCTGCTAACCAACCTCAAGATGGCAATGTACTGTCATTGCTGTACTTCCCTGTCAAATAGCAAGTCTATTTTTAAGGGCAAGGTAAAGAATTTTTTATTTTAATATTTAAATTTAGATCACTTTAATTCTAGCATTGTTTAACTTCTTTGAGTTAGCTATCATTATAGGGGTAAAAACGCCAAAGAAAACAACAACAAGAGCCCCAACTCTTTTTGAAGTTACATTTTTGGTAGTGTGTGTGCGTAAGACAAATGTTTGTGGGAATATGATAGTCCTGCATTTTTGTTAAGTCACTGATTGTGCTCCGTGTTTGACATAACTTTGTCTCACCAAGTGATGAATTATTTTACCTGCACAGAAATCACTTATCAGCTTGGGGTTTTGGTAGTACTACACCCATTTTCAGTATATTGGTAGGTGTTTCACTGCTAAATCCTGCTAGCATAGTGTAGTATTAATAGTAGTCAGTTGTTTGAAACGGACTTTTTTTTTTAAGACATACACAAGAAAGAGAAGGATTTAAAGGGACTAAACTAATTAAACTTGATTCCATACTGCTTTGAAAATCTATGCCCATGCTCTTGGATAATGTGAAAAACTGTTTTTTCACATTAGAGATACCAAGTAAGTTAGATGAGGGGGAAAGCCAGACAGAGAATTTTTATGTTCCAAAATAACTTACAGAAAGTTTAGGAAAGTCATATCGATAGAGAAGCTGGTGGAGGGAAATGGTCATGAGGATGTCAGCTTTATGCTGCCTTGCTGTAGGGTCCTGAGATGCACTGCTTAACTTCTGAAGAAACAGAGTTGTTATCTCTCCCTGAAAATATTGGGGGAACCAGAAATAAAAGCTGTAGGAGAAACAGGCATTGAAAACATTGAAAAAATTTTAGACAAAAAACTGCCTTATTTTAAGGTGAAGTCTGCCTTATGAAATAATTAGAAGGAAGATATAATCTTACGTAAATGTATATTATATGCTATTAGTAGCAGAAGTATATTGGGAGTATAGTTTTGTAGCTCTGATACCACTCACCCTTCTAATGAATACTGTATATAATATCAAGTTGTTTCCATAGCAAAGCAAGCGTGTCACAGGATTTTGTTGGTGTCTGGGGAAGCTGTAAGCTGCTGATTGATTGTGTGGCATGAATATTACCAGTGATTTCATTAAGTTGTCTGACTACACAGATATGTCATTTGGTAGACAGCATCTTTTTGATTATTAGCTGGAATGTCCCTTTCTGGGATAGGCCATCGGAGAATACCCCTTTTTTGTTGGTTTGGTTTTTTTTTTTCCTATTAAAAGTAGTATGGTGCTTTATTTTTTATTTTTTTTTACTACTATGAAAGTAAGAGAGGTTTTATTCTTCTTTGGAACAAATTCTTGTATTACAGGATTCCTAGTGGTTTGATAGAGGAAATGAGGGATGGCTGCTTCGTGCATTATTTTAAGGCTTGAGTAAGAAGCTGCATAAGCAGGATAAAAGCCTGGCTTGACAAATGAGCAAAACAAGCCTGATCTCTGGCACACTGGGGGCACACGGAGTTGAGCAGGTGGGGCAGGCACACAGTACAGGGGTGGTATGTGCCTGGACAATGGTTTCCAGATAACGCATTTGCTATCAACCTCTCTTGTCTGTGTTGTTGATTTTTTTCTATTGTTGAAATAAGTAAAATTGTGGCTGTTGCTGTGTGCTAAGTGTACAGACTAGAATTTATAATAGTTCTCATTTCATTTTTTTCGAGCTATGAAGCTCTATTCACCCACCAAAAGCAGAAGGTTTTTACAAGATTATATTAAATTACAAAAAAGAATTACCCAGAGCATCCTAGCTACATTGCAATGAGTTATTCTACTCTTTGCTAACTAACTATTACTCTACACTTATGTAACATTATCACCACCTCCAAGGAACCCCAAAGCATTTTTTAGTCTTGGGCAAGGATACGTTGCTTGCACAGGAATGGCTTTCACTCGCCACTGCCATGCATTCACTTTTTGGGTGAAACATAACAGCTGCTTGTCAGCATGCTTTAACACTCACGGCATCTTGAAAGGAAGTGAATAGCACCGAGGCTAATTGAAACTGCCGGGATAATTTAAGAAAGTATAATTGCCCAGCAAACACAGCTACACAAGTTGGAGTTAGTCCACGAGACGAATTGTTGTCATGAAAAAAAGTGTAGCAGGATCTGTGATGGTCAGAAGAGGTCAGGACTTGCAGTGTTACATTTCTCACATGAAATTGCCTTCTCTTTCCTGGCATTTTCAAAATGCTGTCATTGGAGGATGAACTGCTGGGGCAGTGGGGATGAGAGAGGCTGTGTGCCAGGCACAGCACTGCCAGCACTGCATCCTGCCTTCCAGTACAGGTGCTGTGCAGGCAGCTTGCTTGCTGGGGTCCGGTGGGATGGCAGGGGTCTCATGGGGAGCTGTTACAACTGGTGGCCAGAAAGGCTAGTTTGCTTCTTGGAAAGGAGGGTTTCACTGTAATTGATGCCCTTTGTTCCTCCTAGGCTTTGCAGTTGAGTTATGAGGATGGGACGGGGAAGGTTTGCGATAGAAGTGTTCAAAGCTTGCATTTTAAGTGACCGTTTACTGACGTGTGACAGTTTCCTTATTCCCAGGGTCTCTCTCAGGCTGATATCACTGAGATATATAATCCCCTTCCAGTAGAGCTGCTAAGGAATGTCAGCATATCCTGCAATACCCACAACTGTCAGTTGCCTAATCCTGAGCCAGCACATGTGTTAAGCACATGCTCCCTTCAGCAGAAGGAACACACTTGGAAGCTGACTGCAAGCACAGAAAAATTGCTCCCCAGGCATCTTTGTTTTAAAAATTCTGCTATTGCCTTGAAGTTGTTTTCATGTATTTGGTAGCCTTGCATCTACCTCCTCTGGAGTTATCTTTAGCTATTTTGTTGCATTTTTTTTTCTATTTTTTATATCGCATTCCCCCAATAGTATTAGAATTTTAAAAGCAGAAGAAAATAAAAGACTGCTCTTAGGTGTGATTTGACATCCTGCTCTACATATATTGACACTGTGAGTCTTTGTCTCCTTCCTTACTACTTATTCTGCTACTTACTTCCTTAAAGGTAATTGGGAAAAAATCTAGACTGTACCAAACTGTGGAGTTTGGCGATCAGGTATGAAGATGGGGAGAGGGAGGAAGGCACTGAAATATATTGTGCTATCACAAAATGCTTGCACTGCCAGTAAGTCCTTGCTCAAGGTCCATAAAGGGATGGACTGCAACACTCTCTGTCCTCATCACCTTTCCTTTTCTGTGTTTTGTTTGTAATTGCCCCAGCCTCTATATCAGTTCTGTTGACCTTACAGGCTACTCTGACTGGGTAGGTATTCTCAAAGCCCATCAGCTTTGAGAATACTTTTGCATGGAAAAGGTAACTAAACTATTGTGTCGCATCACCTTCTTCATTAAGTTCTGCAATTTTATTTTTAGAGTCCTCATATACTAATTTGTTTCCTTTGTAGTACAGGAATTTAAAGGCAGGACTAATTACTGGAGTTCAAAAAGCTACTTGCCCATTGAGGACTTTGGTCTGAACATGGCAAAGAAATTGGAGTAACATTACTAGTCATTAAGGCAAATCCTTATATTGTTGGCAAGGCCTCTGCTAGAAACAGGTCCCAAAATATAAGAAGGTCCAGTTAGTTTTTACTGAAAAAGGTTGTTAAAGATTGCTTCTTCATGGCGTAGTTACTATTCATGAAAGCAGAAAGCCTTGTCCATAAGTGTTATGATTGACAGGTCAAAACACAAAAGCTTCCTGATCCTGGTCTATGGACTGTTATTAATTTTTCATCTAATCTAAATGATTATAGCATCATGTGACAG